GAAGAATGCCCAAGATTTCATCCAGTTTCTTGTCCTGCGCATCCTGTTTTTCCTTTATCTTCTTGATTTCCTTCACCATATCCAACTGCTCACTATCCTTATTTTCCACACACACCGTCTTCCCTTTACGCTTCAACACACTTCCACATGCCTCCCCCGCAGTCTTCTGCCTAACAAACGCATCGCGTATATTCATCTGCCTTTCCTTAACCTTTCGAAAACGCTTTGAAATGCTAAGTGACAACTTCTTCCTGGCCTTCACTGCAGATGTGCCTTTCCCCTTAAACAGCTCTTTCACACTGCCCAACAACAACTCTGAATCCGTTGGCTCCACATCATTAACTATAAGCTGCAATTTAAAACAAAACATTAATACTAACCATGATTCAGTACAAATAAAGAAAAAAAACCACCACAAAACACCTAACCTTCCCAAATTTGAAAAGTGCGTCGGAGACTTTCGAAGAGTTAAACTTCCCGCAAACCTTCCACCGCAGACACCGGGGAATCAAATTCACCCGCTCAGGATCTAGCACACACATCCCCTCCGCCGCCAGAGATGGAAATGTCTCAAAAGCCCAAATTTGCAATGCAAACATGTATCCTCCAAAGGTAGGCCGGGTGCTTCCGCCTTTCTCAATAAATAAAGCGCACCTATACACATGATCGACTAACTCCGACCACACGTCATCCCCCCAAGGGTAGGTATTAAACTCATCCAGGTCATCAACCAAGCTCAAATAATGCATCGGCAAATTAACCGAAGGCTGGTTACCTAGAAACACGTTTGCCAAAGCATAAATCAACGCCATCTTCACTGCGTCACTTGGCAGTGTCCGCTCTGCATCACGCTTAAATTTTAAGAAAGCATTACTGATCGCTCTTCGCTTGACTGATTTACATGACGGAAAATACCGCGCCGCAAACCTACCACCCACACTATTATCCACTATCACCCTCCGTCCGCCCATTTTTAACCCGGTGATCAGATGAAATTGGGCCTTCGTCAAAACAACCTCATGACCAAGAATCCTGAACTTCAACCTATCCTTACTTCCATTTTCATCAGCAGACCGCACACAGTTCCCGACCAAAAAGATGAGCAATTGCCCACTGATCCAAGGACAATCCAGAACATCTAAAATCATCCCGAATGCCGAAGTCCTAAATCTGCCCAACTCCTCTTCAGTCAGCTTTGCCCTGATCTGTCTAGCAACTTCATTCACATTGCAGTATGTATTTATCCTTCCATCGACCAGGCTGTCTCTCTCCAACCTCTGTGCTTCCTACTCAATGCAGAATTAACTCGTAAGCAGAACACAAAGAAACAAACACCAATTGTCAATGGACGACACACAAGGATTTAAGCAAAAACGGATATGGTGTTGATATGTCTATATGACCAAAAAAACACCGAATGCCCAACGACCCAATTGATCTATCCAAAACAAAAAAAACAAAAAGAAAACCGCCCCCACTGCCAACTATTAATCGACAACTCCACCATCCATTTAAAAAAGGAAGTCAGTCAGTAATCCCATGAATCCAAAAAAAACCTACCCCATCCACATTTTAAATGCCCCATACAGTGAGAATTTAATATTATGTAAAAACCTTCACAGAAATGAAAAGTTAGCCTAGAGCTTCAATGCAATGTCTTCAGCTTAAAACACTCCCACTGCCACATGTACAAAAACACCACACTACCTCATTCACAACCCTAAGGTAGCACCACCAACACTTCCACAACAAGCCACAAAAAAAACCCAGACAACCGTACAAAACTCAACAACATACAAAATCACACCACATACTGCCACTCACATCGACATGACAAAACAAGAACACACACTTCCTCATCAATGTTTCCAAAAAAAACCTCATTCATGAAAACACATAAACAAGTACACATAGCGACTACACACAGCCGAATACCAATCCCTAGCACAATGCCAGAAAACATCAAAGTTCACCCAAATTACAAACCAAAAAAACCCCCCAAACACCAAATCACAATAACCAAAACCCCTCCATCTACCAATCTCACTACCAACCAACAAAAATTAAAAACCAAAAAATGACCCATTGCATTTCACACTGCCACAAAACCACAAAAATTACATAAAAAACAAAATGCAACATCAACAACTTTGTAGGCCTAACACAGCCAAGCATAATACCAAATTGCACTCTTTTTCAAATTAAAATTGCATAACGCTTTAACACATCTAACCTGAACCTTTTCCATCCTCTTGATTAACGGAATTTCATCAAGCGCTTCATCCTCTGACAACATTTGCTCTGCGTTGCGCAACTCTTCCTCTTTCGCCATCGCAATCCTCACACTGCGTCTTCTAATCGGAGTATTTCTTTCTGGATTCGAAACATCCGAAGTCTTCATGACTCTATATTCTAATACTTGGGAAGTGCGAATCAAGTGGCTGATTATCCGGCCTCAAAAACCGGGAAGCATGCAGCAGCAGGGTATAATTGCAAATCCTCCGCCTGATTACCCGACCTCAAGAAGCGGAACGTCCACTGCCACCTTAAACCAAAGTCTTCACAGTTTAAAACCTCAGGGACAAAACCGGGATTTCACTGCCTACAAAATGGCGGAAAACACTAGATTAATTAGCACTGCTAAATAGGTATTAAAATGTATAAATGGTGCTATTTCATTGTTTTTCCCTACTCCGTATATATACACTATATACATCATAATTAACTCGTACGTCAGTGGCGGACCAAAGATGACTGAGGAGTACAGTAGGTTTGTTTTTTTACTTGATTGACACATAAGTTCTACTAAGTTGGTATTTTATAGAGAAATTTACCTAAATATGATTAAAACATAATTAATGACTTTCCCAATATAGGACCATATGTTTTTATTTCCCAATGTAGGACCTTTGGTCATTATCAAGTAGTCATTATTCAACTAAATGTCCATCATTACTGGACATTATTCCTTCCACAAGGTCATTATTAAGTCCTATTTAGGGAATAAAAAAGTTTAAGTCCTACATTAGGAAAGTCATTATGTTTTAGTCCTATTTAGTGCAAATTTCACTATTTTATATACTCAGTAGTTACGCTTAATAAAACTGATAATTACATAAGAGTAAAAATTATTCTCAAGCTAAACTCGTGTCATGAGTAGAAGTTTGGAAACAAGAGCCTAAAACCGCTAAAGAAGATAACACCTTCATGAGTAAGGGGCTGTTTGGCAACTTCTGAATAGGTAAGTGCTGAACCAGTAAGAGGTCTGAACCATTAAGTGCTGAAGCAGTAAGAGGTCTGAACCATTAAGAGCTAGTATATTGCTTAACTATTCAGAGGCAAATGTCTGATCAATTCAGATAAGATGTTTTAACCATTCAGACTCTGTATAATACTTAACCATTCAGAGGCAAATGTCTAAACCATTCACACATCTGCTCACGAAACAAACAGTCTGAACCATTAAGTGCTGAACCATTCAGACATCTGAACCATTAAGAGGCTGAAACAAACAGCCCCTAAGTCTGCTAAAGGGAGAGAGACAGAAATTTTGTGACGAAAAAGCTTGAGAGTGCATGTGCCGAATAAGCTTCAACGTATTATTCATTCTGAAATAACGTGGTGTTCATTTCAAGCTTGCTCAGCGTAGTGTTTATTCCGAGATAAAATAATGTTCATTTTGAAATATTTTTAATTACAAAATTACCATAATATACGATATATTCAGGCATTCAGCTCTACCATATAATATGTTGTCGTGGAGAATGTATGGAACTAGATTTGTGAGGTGCGTTAGGAAGGTACTACCTCTGTCTCAGAGTATTTGTCCACTTTCATTTTTACACACCATCCAATGCACTTCTTTAATATATTTTATCTTGAAATTTGTATATTAAAAAATTATAGAAATTATATATTAATAATCTATATGTTAAGACAAATCTAACAAGATCACACATGACTATATTTAGGCTTACACATTGAGAGAATTTGATGAGTCAAAATGCTTAGATGAACAGTTTCAAAAGTCAAAAGTAAACGAATATAACGGGACGGAGGGAGTATGACTTAATTGCATGTCATCTTCATGTTGCCATGCACTCCATGTCTTGAGTGTGGCATTCCATATCCTTGTTTTTGATGAAAATAAATCATTTTTTGTACTAAATTAGAATTGTATTTATGATAAAATAAATTGAAAAAAATAATTTTTAATAATTAAAACACATCAAAAAAAGTGTAAAAAATGATAAAAATTGATAGAATTTAGGATGAGGTATGAAATACTGGATTGGGTAATAAGACACTTGGGTTGAATCACATTAAAAGATTGAATCCAATCAATTAGGTAGTTCAACTCAAGAGCTTATATACCGATTATTTTACTCTTGGACTTCCGATGTGAGATGACGCACACTCTAACACTCCCCTCAAGTGGAACGACCGGGTCATTTTGAATCTAACCGATTGACCACTTGCAAATGAACTCTCATTTCCTTGATTTTTTTTTGAGCGCCAACACCTAAAGGACCACGAGCTGCTGGGTATGAACTTCCAGACGAGCAATCGTGTTAAACGGGCCACATGCCGTTGGGTACATATTTCATACGGACAACTGGGCTGAAGACTAATGGGCCGCTAGGAATGAACGTCTCGACAGACACCTTGACAAATGAGGTGAGCCAAAACCTGCTCCAATATACCATGATAGAATTTAGGATGGGGTATGGAATACTGGATTGGGTAATAAGACACTTGGGTTGAACCACATTAAAAAATTAAATCCAAACAATTAGTTAGTTCAACTCAAGAGCTTATATACCGATTATTTTACTCGCAAACTTCCTATGTGGGATGACACTCTAAAAAAACAATGACTTGCCACGACAGAGTTTGCCACTTACTTGCTGACTAAACATTTTTTTATTGATTGAAATCTGCCACATTAACATGTGACATTCTATTTTTGCCTCACCATTGTTCATGTTCCATGAGCACCAAATTACACGGTCAAAAGATAGACCTAGTCCATAAAATAATTGCATAACTTACATTAATTAAACCTACTCTCGGCATGTTTTAGAAATGCTTTAAATTATACCCACAACACTAATGGTTAATGAGGTTTTTGACAAATTGTTTCCAGTACTATTTATTTTTCTTAGATTTGAAATCGAGTGACATTTTAGTCCGTTTTGTAAGTTTTCAACTTTTTTTGGTTAGTATTATTCTTAATTACTATCCATCGTTTGTTTGTAATTATACAAATTTACATTTAGTCCAAATTTCTCTTTAGCAACATCCTCAGTAACATATCTATGGTAATTTAGGCAAATACCAAATAAACAGAAGTGACAATAACTCTATCTTTTGTCTCATCTTCATGTTTTTTATAAATAGAGAATATTTTTTCCAACGTGTAATGTAGAAATGACCTACTATGAAATAGTTCCAGATATAGACACTTAGGAAGATAATAATATGAAATATAAGACCATATTGGAAAGGGTAAGAATCTTTTGACCTTAATACTTAGAGTGATATTATGATTAAGGGCCTCTACGGTGTTCCGTTCGTAAAGTTTATGATTTTTACCCTCCTAACCCCACCTAAACCCTACCTCCCTGCCCCCCAACATGTCCACCCCACCACAGCACCCTCTGCCCCCTCCCCATTTTGTTGATTGGCTACAATATTACTAGAGATGTTTTGCAGGTTAATTTGCTATTTCGTTCAAAAGAATAGATTTATTTATGCGATAAAAAAACATATACAGACTGAAGTTCTCTCACACATCGGAAAAAGAGCAAAAAGAATACTACTACCTCCGTCCCGTGAAACATGGGACATTTGCTTTTTAGGAGGGATTTAAGGGAGTGTATTTTGGTATTGAATTTCCAAAAATGTCCTTTGATGTGATGGGTAAAAGTATGATTTGATGGATAGATTATTAGTAAAAAGGTATGATGTGATAGTTAGGGTATGAAAAATTAAGGGGTAAAAGTGACTTTTTAATAGAAATGAGAAGTGTTTTGTGGGACGGATAAAAAAAGAAAGGGGAAATGTTTCACGGGACGGAGGTAGTACATAGTAAGATATAAGTTTCATGATATCTTTTTCTATCGCTAATTAGTTTTAGGATGAAACCCTCATGAACTTGTGTTTGTGTTGGCTTATCACACGCGCAAATGCGCGCGAACCGGTGCGTGTCCCCCTATGCTATGTTGGCCCACCAAACTTTTATCAAATTTCATGGGGTGTGACAATATATTTATTAAGGGGCTGTTTGGCAACTTCTGAATGGGTAAGTGCTGAACCAGTAAGAGGTCTGAACCATTAAGTGCTGAACCAGTAAGAGGTCTGAACCATTAAGAGCTAGTATATTGTTTAACTATTCAGAAGCAAATGTCTGATCAATTCAGATAAGAGGTCTTAACCATTCAGACTCTGTATAATACTTAACCATTCAGAGGCAAATCTCTTAACCATTCAGACATCTGAACCATTAAGAGGCTGAAACAAACAGTCTGAATCATTAAGTGCTGAACCATTCAGACATCTGAACCATTAAGAGGCTGAAACAAACAGCCCCTAAATTTTCATACTTTTAGATATTAAGTCCACTAATTTGATTTGTGCAAAAGTATTACAACTTTAAAAGTACTCGGGGGTGGGGGGTAATAGACTAATAGGTAAATGTTGCCATATTATAATGGTCGCCATACGTTTACATTAAATCAACCTTTGCACCGTCATAATAAAAAAATCAACTTTGAATAATTTAATATCATTCTAAACCTAATAATTTAATATCACTCTAAACTATATATATGAGTGTTTCAAAGAAGACAATACAATATGGCCACAATTCACATATACAACCGCCTAATGCTATTCTATTTGATTAATTAGTGCCATGATTCAACAAGTAACAATTAGTCTATGAAATACTTCTAAATTGAATATTATTACAATCTCATACAATTTCATGAGACATTTAATGCAAAATTTAATGGGGGAAGCATTGTCTTGTTGTGAAATAATTATTTTTTAAAAAATAGCTTAAGTATAAATATATATTTATAACTCTGTTAGGCTTTAATCTGATTTCTATAAGGGTGGACCGTATGGGTGCGGTAAATCTTGTTTGGTACCAAAATTTACTTATCTGGCATTCTGACAATTTGGTAAAGAAGGTAACACCGCCCCTAATTTGGTACCCAAAAAAATTGGTAAGGAAGTCTAAGACTTTATCGGACATACTGGAGTATCACGATACTATTTTTACATTTTCATTTAAAAAATTAAAAACTTAATTCAACACAATTTTTTTACCTTTTTCATTGTATAGGTATTATTTGGGTTGCTTAACCATAATAGCTATAGAATGAAAAAGTAAAACTTTTGTTTGAATTAAGTTTTTATTTTTTTGAATGAAAATGAAAAAAAGTACCGCGATATATGCTCCAGTATGCTGGGTAAAGTCTTAGACTTACTTACCAAAATTTTTGGTACCAAATTAGAGGGGGCGGTGTTGCCTTCTTTACCAAGTTGTCAAATAAGCAAATTTTGGTACCAAATAAGATTTGCAGCACTTATACCGTCCACCCTAAGATCATCTTCAATAGTACTACCTCCGTTCCAGAGTATTTGTCCACTTTCATTTTTACACATCATCTAATGCACTTTTTAAATATATTTTATCTTGTAATTTGTATATTAAAAAATTATAGAAATTATATATTAATAATCTATATGTTAAGACAAATCAAACAAGATCACACATGACTATATTTAGGCTTACACATTGAGAGAATTTGATGAGTCAAAGTGCTTAGATGAACAGTTTAAAAAGTCAAAAGTGGACGAATATAGCGGGACGGAGGGAGTATTACATATATTCAGTTTTCGAATTATACAACCTCCAACAGTACTGCAAAATGGGTTTTGCATTAATTGAAACCCAAATATGGCCATTTGGATTGTAATTTGGGGTACTCCATTATTATCTACTTCCATATTTTATTACTTTGTAATATATTTTTGAATTTTTTTCAAGTTACATTATTTATTTTTTAGATAACTAGTTTTTATAATTTACTGTAATTTTTAATTTACAATATATAAAAACTAATAAGAAAAAAGAATGTATTGTGAGAATATTATTTTGATTTTGGTGTAATGAGCGGGAGATGAATTACTGCAAATTTTTCATTTATTATATTTTGAGTTTGGTGTTGGTGTGAATCATTAGAGATGGTCTAAACAGAAATAACACCATTTCTATAGACATTTGATGCATTATTGTATTTTCTGTGAAGAAATTTATCGTAGAAAAAAAAAGAAGAAAAGTTTAATTAGCATCTCATTTTGATGATTTTATTTTCTTATTTAAAGTTAATGTGGTATTTTTGTTCCAATCTAAATGGGCTCAACCAACCCATAATTCTCAGTGGGAGTATAATGCTACTGAGAGGATGTTATGGCACAAGCTAAGGCATGTACCTATAGCTTTAAAGTTTTTAAGGATTCATTGTAACACCTCAATGGGAATATCAATTACGGAGTAATAATTACTGTAGTTTAGTATAATTAATTAATAATTGAGACAGAACAAGTTTTTTATATGAAAAAAATAAATACTCCTCAAAAAGAACTTCTAAGTGAGTTACGTATTCTAGAAAGATTTTAACTCAAGCTCGTTTACTTTAGATAGAGACTCTATGAAAGAAAATTCATCTTGTTACTATAAGTAGTCCATAAGACTATGGGTATGGGACGGGAAGGGACGACAAAAAGGCTGACTTGGCGCCTTTCTCGCACGGGAACACTGTCCCCTAGTGGAGGGATGCAAGATAAAGCTAAGGGGTTGTAGTCCCCGCTTTTCCCGTTGGCGCCCTTCTCAATATACTTTTTTCGTTTTCCCTCTTACCTCTCCACACTCATTTCTTCTTACATTTCCCTCTCATATGTGTCACTTTTTTCCTCTCCTTCCCGTCAACACCATATCCCATAGCCTAAGAGCAATATCCAAGTTATTCCATTTCAATTTGGGGTATTACATTGTGTCTTTTTAACTAGCATGAGTCATGACCATGAAAACAAATCTTTGTTCATAAGCCTAGTGCCTCCATCCATTACTTGTGGAGTGGATCCTCTTTTTCAGGTTGGACCATTGGCTAAGTCAGATCCATTTCACTTCGACTCAAGCTCACGGAAAAACGACTTTACCTCTAACAAATTAAATTATACGAAGTGTAAATTATTTTCAAAACAATACTTGATATTATAATAATACACATAAAAAATTATAATCTTATAATTAAATATCATTGTAGCTACCTTAAAAAAATTAAATTTTTAAATTTTTATTAAAAAAATATACAACATATCTATTAAAAATGAAAAATGCTAGGTTCTCGAAAAAAAAGGATCTGGGCCGTGCACCTCGGCACACCATTGGGCTGGCCCCGATCCAAAATATAAAGATCAATTGTGAAATGAATTTAGAGGATGCTTGAGATTACAGTAAATCCATTAAAAAATAATTTAAGTAAAAGTAAAAGGTAAATAATTTTAAATTTGTTAGATAATGCTTTTGGAGTCCATTTTAGACTTTTGAAGTCATTATGTATAAGGGAAAATATATTCTCAAATACGCTAATTATACTTTAACGCGACAGAACTTCAAATGGTTTTAAACACATCCGCAAATTAAACACCCTCTTAATGTATTGAATCTAAATTACCTACACACTTGAGTGTGTTCTAATTAAATAATGAGAACACATTTTCAGAAAAGTAGAAGAATTACTTAAAAATGGCTCTAAAAAAAGATTCCAATGGTTTTCTTCACGAAAGGATGTTAAAAAAAGCACAGTAAAATTTATAAAAATAAATTAGGTTAACATGCATCTGATGCATGGTAGATGCGAAATTTACCGAGGCAAGTAACCAGGTAAACCATGGTAAAAACCGAAAACCGGGGCGCGGGTCATGACCTAAACCCGGAACCCACCCTACCCTGCCCGTTATTAACACGACAGGCCCACTTTTCTCCGTGAAAGCCAATCCAGAGGTAAAGAAAACGGCATGGACAAACGGCGTCAGGTGGGAGGCCAATAGAATTCTGACAGCGCATTAACGGCGCTAAATCCGCGCCTTTATTAGTTGTCCGTTTGTCCCCCCATCGCCTTCCCGTCCACGGGCTACTCCCGGTCACCGGAGATCGTACCGGCTACTCCCAGTGACCGGGTTAGAATCTAACCGTGGTTAACCTTTTTTTATTACAGTTTGACCCCTTTGGTCTTTGAAAGGGCCTCCTTTTTCTTCTCTCACATGTCCTAACGCTACAAAGCCCATCCCGTTGGAGACATACAAAAATCGCTGATAGAGAGAGAGAAGAAGAAGAAGAAGGAGAAGTAGAGGAGAGATAGTCTAGAGAGAGAAAGTGGTTGAATCTAGATTTCCGTTTGGTTGAAGTGATTCCGAGCTTTCTCCGGCGGAGAATCGGTTCAGAGGAAGCGCGTCCGGAGGATGACAGATCTGTGAGTTTGTTAGATTGCGTGATTTGTGCTCGGAAATGGCTACTACGGAGGCTTCGCTCAAAGGATACACGGAGCCGAATGATGGCGGAGCTCGTGGCGGCCCTTTCGCCGGAAAAGGTGAATCTAGCGGCGTTTATTTTCGCGTTTGGTTGCGATTTTTCGCTGTGAGCTCAGCTTCATCTGTTTTTTTTTTGTTTTGTTTTGTTGTTCTGTGAGATTTAGTTGATGCAGAAACGGCGTTGTACACGGAGCTATGGAAGGCTTGTGCTGGGCCACTGGTGACCGTGCCGCGGGAGGGGGACTTGGTGTTCTACTTTCCGCAAGGCCATATTGAACAGGTTGGTTTCAAAACAGTGTAAAGCATTTATGAGCTCAGATTCCTTACATTTTTCTCTTTGTGTCTCTGAGATACTCTATCCTGTTTTCCTTCTATCACTTTTGGTTTGTGTATTTTATAAATAAAGTTTCTGTGCTCGATTTGCTTTTCGAGTAGTCACTGTTCATCACTGTTCCTGGATTTTTTTTGTTTTGCTAATTTAATGGGAAGCTTTCTCTAGGTTGAGGCTTCAACCAATCAAGTAGCAGATCAGCAGATGCCTATGTATAATCTTCCTTCGAAGATTCTCTGTCGCGTGTTTAATGTAAAATTGAAGGTAAGTGGTTGAAAATTACTAATGATCTGTTGGTTTTACCGGAAGAACTTCTATCGGATTTGTCTACTTTTGTGAATTCATACCTTCTACTGTAGCTGTTTGCTGACTTTGCTCTTAAGCGCCATTGAACTGATTTAAGTAATATAGAATACTCAATTTCATCTCCTTTGCATGTCAAGGCTGAGCCAGATACTGATGAAGTTTATGCGCAAGTGACTTTGATGCCAGAATTGGATGTGAGTTTATTCACACCTGAAGGCAGATATCCAGTTTTTTTTATAATTTTTAATTTTATTTTAATGGTGTTTATAGTTTTTAATGGCAATTGGTGTGGTTTAATGACAGCTCGATGAGAATGCGGCTAAGAGGGAATCTATGCCTCCTCCTCCACCACGTTTTCATGTACACTCTTTCTGTAAGACGCTTACTGCGTCAGATACTAGCACTCATGGTGGATTTTCGGTACTAAGACGACATGCTGATGAATGTCTCCCTCCACTGGTTAGTACGATTTTTTCATTTCAATGACCAAGTTGTATAGGTATTGTGACTGAATCTTATCCGTGAGGGAGATCCGTGTCTAACACTATCATTGGCTGGTGATGTAGGACATGTCCCGGCAGCCTCCAACACAGGAGTTGGTGGCCAAGGATCTGCATGGAAATGAGTGGCGCTTTAGACACATATTTCGGGGTACAATTCCACACTATGATCATAATGATACTCCAGTGTCTTCCCTTTGGTGTTTATTAGGAATAACTATCAGTGACATCAAACACATTTATGATACAATCAATTAGTTCAATTCGGACATAGCAAAACTGCAACAAGTGTAAATATGGAAATAGAATACCGCATCATTATTGTCCAAAAGAATAGTCTGATGGTATTAAAGTGTAACCTTTGGACTGTCAGTAAATGGATTTCTTATCTTTGACCTGCACTTGTGGCGTACATAGTTCTCTTCTTTCCTTCATACTTATGATGCTTACCTTACCAACTAATGCAGGCCAACCACGGAGGCACCTTCTACAAAGCGGCTGGAGTGTATTTGTTAGTTCAAAAAGGCTTGTCGCTGGGGATGCGTTTATATTTTTGCGGTGGGTAATTGTTTTCTTTTGACTTTTTAAATACGACTTTTGATCATCTGTAGCTTTTATATCAACCGCTTGACCAGAAATCTGATAGTATAAAAATTCCCGATCTCAGAGGTGAGAATGGGGAACTTCGTGTTGGGGTTAGACGTGCCATGAGACATCAAAACAATGCACCATCATCTGTTATATCCAGCCATAGCATGCATCTTGGTGTACTTGCAACGGCTTGGCATGCCATTCAGACTAAAACCCTCTTCACAGTATATTACAAACCAAGGTATGGGCCAAATACTCCATTTCTTTTGTATGCAGGGAGCCACATAAAGTATTTAGTCTGTAATTTTGTGTGTATTACAGGACAAGTCCTGCTGAATTTATAATTCCGTATGACCAATTTATGGAGTCTGTTAAAAACAACTACACCATAGGGATGAGGTTCAAAATGAGGTTTGAAGGAGAAGAAGCTCCCGAGCAGAGGTATTTGTTTTCTAGATTTTTTTTGTTTTGTGAAATTCCTTACTAGCTGCCAAATTTGTGTTATGCGGGTGGGTAACTTCTGAATCTTGCAGGTTTACTGGAACTATTGTTGGTATTGAAGATGGCGATCCCCAAAGGTGGCTAGAATCAAAATGGAGATGTCTCAAGGTAATATAATGTGGTATCTTCTGGTGTGCTGTTATATCTGCTATTTACTGTGATTTTGTGATTTTTTATGCTAAACACAGTTTATTCTGCATTCATTAATGGTTCAAGGTGCGTTGGGATGAAACTTCTTCTGTTCCTAGGCCAGATCGAGTTTCACCTTGGAACATAGAGCCAGCTCTCACTCCTCCTGCACTAAATCCACTTCCTGTCCCTAGACCAAAAAGGCCTCGATTAAATGTTTTGCCTTCTTCTCCTGATTCGTCTGTTCTAACACGAGAAGGTACTTTACCCTGCTAATCTACTATGTTTGACATCTATTGCTGTTGGAATTCAGCTAATTAGATGTTACCATGCATTCTTATGGACTATATAGGTTCATCCAGGCTATGTGCAGCAGACCACTCACATGCAAGTGGGTTCTCCAGGGTCTTGCAAGGTCAAGAGCTTTCGACCATGAGAGGCGCATGTGCGGAGAGTAATGACTCAAACTGCTTTGAAAAGCCACTGTCATGGGTGCCACCGTCTCTGGATGACGAAAAGGGCGACATTCATTCCAGATCATTTATGGGGAGATCTGAACCATCATTTACAGATCTATTATCGGGTTTTGGGACACAAATCAATTCTTGTAGCTTCTCCTTACACCCCCCTGGAGAGGATCAAACATCTGCTGCTATTAGTTTGGCAAAGAGACGTAAACAATATCCCGAAGGAGGAAGTTTACTGGGAAAGCCATGGTCTTCGGGCCTATCACTTACTTTGATGGATTCCGGCATTAAACCTCACAGTCAGGGTTCTGATAGTCCCTACCAAGCAAGGGGGGACTCTATGTATGGTGGCCTCACACTTGAGAACCAGCCAGGGAGCTGGATGGGGAACCATCACGCTATTTCTTACCTGAGAATGCCCCCCACACAAACAATACACCAGCAACCGGAGGTTTTCAAACCAAAAGAGGTTAACTGCAAACTCTTTGGAATACCCCTCATAAGCAACCCTCCTACAACTGATGATACAGAAAACTTGCATATTGGTATGCAATCTCATCAACCCAATGCAACAGCTGAGTGTGATCAGAGGTTTGAGCAAACAAATGATGGCTCTAAATTGGGGGAAGATGAAACGGCTGTCAATGAAGAGGATAAACTTTTCAAAGATAGGGAGCGGAAAGTTCACAGTAGCTCAACAAGGAGTTGCACCAAGGTTGTAAGTTCTAACATTTCTCTTCCAACATACTTTCTCTCAAGTCATGTTTCAAAAAAGAGTTCTACCTCAACAAGAGACGCCATTTTTCATTGAGTTTGATGTCTAGATTTAAGAAAAGGTTCCAAACTAGTTAGGTAATCAGCGTTAGTGACATTTTTGCAAATGTCTTCCTTGGGTTCAGGTTCATAAACAGGGCACTGCCCTTGGTAGGTCCGTAGATCTTACCAAGTTCAGGAATTATGATGAATTGCTTGCTGAGCTTGACCAGCTGTTTGATTTCAATGGTGAACTAAAGATGCTGAACAAAAATTGGATGGTTGTATATACCGATGACGAGGGTGATATGATGCTTGTAGGGGATGATCCATGGCAGTAAGAGCCTTTTCTTTGAATTCTTGATTGTATTATACAATGCCTCTCCCCCCCAGTCCTTAGTATCAGTCACTTGTGATAAAATTAAACGATTCAGAAGAAACGGTGTATTCACAAGTGTCTCAAACTTCCAATATAACCCTCATTGATGAGCAACACACTTTTTCTGAATTCTAGGTTTTATTTTGAAACGTACAAATTTAATGTTCGACTTGAATTCATTAAATTTAATTTAGAAAAAGTAACGACTAGTTTGACTTTAGTTGCTAATTTTAAGTTTAATTAAAGCTTATCCTTTTTTCTTACAAAAACGAGATCTAGTCAAAGAATAGTAAATGCTTCATTGGAATGCTTCAAATGCCTTGGAATTATAAACTACAAACGTCTTCTAAATTTTGACTTATATTAAGGATCACAAATATAAGTCAGACAAACCTTAAATTTGTCGTGTTCTTCTTTTTAATATTGTTTGTTGCCATTGATGCAGAGAATTTTGCGGAATGGTTCACAAAATCTACATCTACACAAAAGAAGAGGTACAACGGATGAACCCAGGGACTCTGAATTCGAAAGGAGAGGACACATCATCAGTTGCAGAAGGATTGGACAGTAGGGAAGTGAAGAGTTCGCATATTCCTTCAGCATCCAGTGCTGAGGATTGTTAACTTCTCAGTTCTAATATATTCATAGGTAAAAAAATATGAAACTTTTCTTTTCCGTCCGCCCCACAACAAACATCGCATTTAAGTCACAAGTTTTCTCTCACCGCTAAAAGTCAAATCATGAATTTTATATTGGGACGGTAGGAGTAATTAATATACACGGAGTATTTAATGAAGAATTTTAAATACTACTACATTAGAAAAACTAAGATTGTTTTAAAGATCATATTATTTCGTGAAATTTGCACTAAATAGTACTAAAACATATATCATTTCCCGATGGAGTACTTAAACGTTTTTATTCCCTAAATAGTACTTGAATAATGTCTAGTGGCTGGAACAATGTCTAATGATGGTGGATATTTAGTTTGAACAATGTCCAGTGGGGGTCGACATTTACTTGAGCATTGACAAGTGGTACTAGATTGGAAATTAAAAACATATGGTACTGCATTAGGAAAGTCATTATGTTTTAGCACTATTTAGGTAAATTCCCCTATTATATCCTCAGCTTGTGTGAATGTGCCTTAATTAAAAGGACCAGGGGTATGAACCATACATTTCGTTGGGTTAGATCCATTGGCCTTTGCATACACTGCACATCTTCAGAATAGAAGTGGTCAGAATCCATGTATATTGTTATGCTTTTGACGTTCTTCGTTCAAAAGATATGAACCGTGCATTTAATTGGGGTTTCGATCCATAGCCCTTTGCTTTGCCAAACATAGATGTTGAATTACTTCAATGGTTTGTACCCATTATAATCCCTTTTTACTATAAACTAATAACTCAATTACCCATTAAGCAAAATATGCACGAAGACACTGATTCAAGTCCAAATTTTATAGGTGATGACCGAAATGAGTAGTAGTGCAGTGCATACTTGATCTATTATTAACTCATATGGATCCAATTCTAACATGATTTCATGCACATGTCCACAGGTATTTAGTGTGGATTTGGTGTGAAATGGCCACAGGTCCTTTTGTAGTTGGTGAGAGAATTGAAGGGAAAAAGACCGGTTTGTCCAAACTAGCTGTCGGTTATTTTTGGGAATGTATCTCAGATTGCGCACAATAGGCATGGATTGGGTGGGTATTGCTCGAACTCCATTTGGATGGAAGCTCGGGTCTCTCTCATTCTCTCGGTATGGTATGCATTTTTGGACCGCTTTCTCGGAGCTTGATAATGTTTATGGGTGTGGCCTTATTTTATACACACACAGTGTATGCACATATTATTACTATTATTATTATTATTATATAAATCAAAACTTAGGCATGTAACAACAACCTTTGCTCTGGAAGTTCCTCCACCTGTACATACCACAAAATTCACCATTCCAAAATTGTCCTCAGCCACCCCCCACACCCAAAAAGGCTGAAGTGAATGTGTAGGGGAAGTAGAAGCTTTTGTTTAATGATTTAACTCTCACAGAGATTTGTATTCGATTTGGTGGATGACATGATGTCTTTTAAGAGTTCATTTATATTACTAAAAACTACATGTGTATAGTTTTATGTGATGGGATAACTACTTAACTAGGGCCAAACATGTTTCCTACACCAAGGTAAGATTATCAACATTTTTTTATTTTAAAATATGACTTGTAATGTTAAAGAATGTGAACATATAATGTTAAAGAACACTATGAAGTACCCCAACAAATAATGTCAAGTTGTGTTATTGTACAATATGAGCATTGCTATTTAGTTGTTTGGAAGATAAAACATAGTATGGGGTTTTATTTTGGTATAAATATAATGTTTCAGTGATGGGTTTCTTTTTTATGATTTGGGGGGGGGTGTGGAGCCAAAAAAAACTACAATAAATATAGTCTCGTGGCTATGTTCCCTTCCTCAAGTCTTGTCGGTGGGAGGGTGCAAGATGCCGTGCACTTTTTTTGTTGCTTCTGATGTTTATTCGAATCTCCGATTGATTCGCTCTTTGTTTTCTTCTTTTCAATTATATACTCCAGTTTGGGGGTTTTGATTTATTTTTTTTGGTTGCTTCAATAAAACTGAAGGAAATGTCAAAATGGTGTTTTCCTTTTCATGGATTTGATGATCTCTTTATGGACCTATTGCGAGTGATTGATAAGGTCAAAATTTTGTCTTTTGAATATCTTTATAATTTGTTTTTTCAGAAGTAATCATGTGTTTGATTCTCCAAAATCAGGTTTTTTTTCTTCTCTGGAATAGTAGATCCGTAATGCTAGATTCACAAATAAAACGCTTACAGAATGCACAAACTTACTATTTGTGTTTGTAAATTTTGTGAATATTTTGTTTGTTTACTCATACTCATAGTAGATAGTATTTCGGAGTAATAAAACGAAGTCTATATCCATACTCCTTTTGGCCATATTGCTTATTTGTGGTAAAAAAAATTATCTTTAAAAGTGGAAAAGAGGAGTTAGATGCAAGTCTCCCTTAATAAATAAAAAAACACTCCGTTTTTTTAATGTTGAAATATTGACCGAAAAGATAAAGTTTATATTAGAACCGATGGACCCATACTTATTTTGGTTGATATGCTCATAATGGGCCAAAATATTAAAGCCATTGTTTTACTACGAATTATTCCGTACTTTTAATTTGGATGAATTTAATCTCAATCTCAGGGCCATCAAACAGCATGCAACTAAAATACCCGAGGTCTGTTTAGGAATAGCGTTAGAAAATAGCATTAGTGTTTTGGATAAAATTTCAATGGTGCAGATTACTTTGAAAACGCTAAAGCTAAACGTTGTCTATAGACACCTTTTTCAAAACACTAACGCTAATCGCTGACATTAATCCCAAACAGGCCCGTATACACACCGATATCACACTCATAGTCAACTCAAAAATGGCCACAACATATAGAATTAGAAATCAACAGTCTCCTTTCACCCCAAAAAAACAAAGAAATCATCAGTCTGCAAAACACAACCTATACAAGCAAATTCTTGTCTCTTAATAATTTCACAAAGAAGGAAAAAAACAGGTTGCATAATTGTGATAAGGCGAAGATTAAAATACAGAAAAAAACAAGAATAAGAAAACACAAATATCACCAAGATCATTCATCCTCTCTGTTTCACGGCGAAAAAAGATTCGGTCTTTTTGAAGGCACATTGACAACACGCTTGAGTTGGAAGCTTAGATCATCCCTTTCGCCAGCGTAGCAGAGTCGAGAAGTATTGCTTTGATTTGTTCAGGATGAATGTCTCCTTCCTTGTATTGCTACAAATATAGATATACATGTTAGAATATAGATCATTTTCTGAACCTTCAATCACACGTTTCATTATTTGATTGACTTAGTGTTCTCATATCTTTTTGGGACAATTTTTTTCTTTTTTAGCCAACAATTAAGATATTAACATATTGAAAAATGCCACATTGACCACAACATTGCCCCTTTGTTTCACACACACAGACAAACTATGAGTTTATATAGTTCACGTGTGATATTCTAACAAACAGATCTCGCATGCACGTGAGAGTGTGCCAGTGTATAATAAACCTATCCCTTAATCTGCAACTGTTATCTCAAACTTTTGATTAAGTTAATTCTCATAGCATTCTATACTGTGTTGTAAAACATTGAAAAAAAATGTTCCACATCTGTCACTAAAAAAGAGTCACTCCTCGACTTCATAAGGTACAAGGAAAGCGTTAAGTAAAATAAAAATGAACAATTAAAATTTGTACAGAAGAGAGAAAAATATTAGGAGACATACATTATTTTGCCTTTAATGTGAGAAAGACTTTAATTTTTGGTGGCCAAAAATAAAATAGTGTGAAAGAATTTAGGACGAAGAAAGGGTTACTAGATTGAACAATAAGACATTTGGGCTGAATCATATTAAAAAATTGAGTCCAATCAATTACTTAATTCAACTCAAGAGCTTATATATCGATTTATTTTTCTCTTCAAATTCTAATGTGGGATACTCTTTAACACTCCCCCGCAAGTGGACATCCGGACAATTTTGAATCTAATCGGTTGACCACTTGCAAATGTACTCCTCCTCCCCAGAAAATGGATCAAAAGTGCCAACACCTAAAGGATCACGAATTGTTGGGCATAGACTTCGAGACAAACAATCGGGTTACATGGGCAACATGTTGTTTTTCCATACGGAAAACTGGGCTAAAGACAAATGGGCCGCTAGAAATGAAATTCTAGATGAACACCTTAACAAATAAGGTCGGCTAAAACAGCAGCGGCGGACGACTAAGTGCCGATCAGACAATCAACTTTAGAATTTTTAGAAACTTGGATCCGGTACTATAAAAGAATTCAGGATGGGTAAAGGGTTACTGGATTGAGCAATAAGATACTTTAACTGAACCACATTTAAAGATTAAATCCAATGGATTACTTAGTTCAATTCAAGAGCTTATATACCGACTTATTTTTCTCTTCAAGTTTCGATGCTGGATACTCTTTAACGAAGTGTGACTTCAGAAAGACACAAAGAGATGAAATGAAGAGGGGTACCTCGGCTCGGAAGATATCCATGGCGAAGCCATTGAAGCAACTGATAACGGCCTGTTGGACATCAAGCCCAATAGTGTCCAAGGCCCGCATTGTTGAGAGTAAGAGGCCCGGTTTACGGCTGCAGAACATATGTATATTTACCGCTCTTCCCTCTTTTACCCTCACTTCTACCTGCAACCAAAGTGGTGGAGTACTACTCGTTTGTTAATTCAATTTGGTTATGAAATTATCTTCAAATAAAAGTTTATAAATTATAAACATATTTTCTCTGTTCTAAATTTATCTATCCATTTTGACTGCATAAAAATAAAGAAAAATATAAAAAAATATTGAATAGTGAAAAATGAGTGATTAAAAAAAGAAATAACTTAGACAACAATTTTTTTAAAAAAAGTAAAAAAAATAAAAGTAAGAAAAAACTATTTTAAAATGGACGGAGAAAAAAAAGAATTTGAAAAATTTTGTGGAAGGAAGGTGTATTTTTTAGTGAATGAAAATGCCAAATAAAACATTTTTGTGTGTTAACATTCCAAAAATAAAACTGGAAAAGTTTAGACTATAATAATATTGGGACTGAAAGAATATATTTTTTCCACATTGTGATGATAGTACTTCGAGTTATAATAATATATTGAGTAAATTCCATAAATGGTCCTCAATCATATACAATTTTCCATATTTAACCCCTAATTATAAGATATTTCATAAATATTTCTCAATTTTTGAAAATTATTCCACAAATAGTCTATTCCACCAAACTTGACAAAATATTTTGAGTAAATTCTCAAAATATATAATCTTTTGTAATAAGCTTTTTCCCAAAATAATATTTAATAAGCAAAAATTAATATCGCGATACTTTACAATTGAAATGTGTTTTCTAAACACTCCTTTATAATTGAGATATGTTTCCAAAAATATTCTTTATAATTGAGATGTGTTTCCCACTTAATTTTAAAAAAATCATTTTGAAGATTTATTCATAATTTAGATAATAAAGAGCATCAAAATATCTTCTATTTAGTTGTCATTTGATAGACATTTTTTTATAAAGGATTATTTACGAAACACATCTCAATTATAGAGGATTGTGTTAGTAATTTCTGGAAAAAAAAAACCTTATTAGAAAGAAGCAGTTTAAGAATTTACTCAAATTATATAGTCATATTTGGTTAACAAAACTATTTGTGGAATATTTTTAAAAAATTAAAGACTGTTTATAAAATATCTTATAATTGAAAACTAAATATGAAAAACTATATAAAATTGAGGACCGTTTATGAAATTTACTCTAATACATGCACATACACACCTTTTTCTAAGATTTTAGTCTTACTTTTTATAATCAAAATTTTAAAACGTTGACCAAGAATTTTGGGGAAAAACAAAAGGAAAACATTACTCTGGCGGGTTGTGCGGTGGGACTAGAGAGGGGGCTGGGGAAGGAAGAGGGAGAGATTTCTTCTTTGATACGGGAGGTGAGGGAGGAGGCGGTGGGGGTAAGAGGGTAGAAGCTCGAGGCGGCGGCCGTTGGGGTGAGCACGGCGGAGGTGGACGGGGTGGCGGCGGCGGAGGGGTCGAGTTCATTTTGGAGGTCATTTATTTTCTGCAACAGCTCCTTCAAGTACTCTATTGCATCCCCTAAGATTGATGCCCTGTCCATCTGCACTCAAAATCCAATCCAACATCATATCATTAATTGAAATGACATAATTAACCTTATGTTATCATTAAAAGCCTTTTTGAAAAGAGGACAATGCTAGAAATCCACCACCGATGCCCCCACGAATGACAATAATCTACACAGACAGTAATCATCTACTCGTATGTTGTTCACAGATGATTATCGTCTGTATAGGTATAAAATCATCTGTATTGTCATCTGTGGAGACATGAGTGGTGGGCTTGTAGCTAGGGCTGTTCATGTTTAGGTCCAGACCGAAAAACCCGACCGAACCGGACCGATAGGTCCAGACCGAACTCGGACCGAATTGATTTCGGGTCGGTCTTCGGTCCATACTTTTTAAAATTTCGGGTTTCGGTCCGGTCCGGTCCAAACCCGAAATAATATAGGTCCAGACCGAGAGGACCGATTGAAACTCTTAATACTCTGTACTCCGTAGTCTCGTATTAATGTGAGGGGACCGACTGAAACTCTTAATAGAATTTTTATGAAATGTGATTAGTTCCGTTTTTCCCCCACACACTTGGATCCGACTCGTGTGAGCCGGATACGACTCTGTGAGTCTGTGACTCGCCTGGCTACTCTCTTCCCCTTCAAATCTCCCGGCAACAAATTGCTCGATCGATCGTCGCCGGCAACCGGCAGGTGGAATATCACCGGAGCGGAAACCATGCTGAAATTCTTGAAAGGCGTCGTCGGCGGATCTGGGACGGGCCTCAAGGATCTGCCTTATAACATCGGCGAGCCTTATTCATCTACGAGAGGACCGATTGGTTTTGTTTTTGGGATTTGAATTTCAGATTTGTTTTGGAATTGAATTCAGCTCCTTTCTTCAATTTGGGATTCATTTTTGTGGGATTTGTTATTTTCGGTCTATTCGGTCCATTTAGGTTCGGTCCAATACATATCGGTCCGGTTTGGTCTAAAACCGATTCCTAATCGGTCCGGTCTTCGGTCCAAACTTTCTTACAAATCGGTCTTTGGTCCGGTCCGGTTCTGGACCGATGAACACCCCTACTTGTAGCATGGTCCTTGAAAAGATAAGTTAGATACACTAAAAAAGAGTAATAAGACAAAAATAATCATTACATTATTATTTTTATTAGGTCTTAAACAAAAAATAAGTCGATCAATTCTGTCAGGTCTAATAATTACTCTCTCTGTCTTAAAGTTATCTTCTCGTTCATTATTCACTTGGTTAAACTTTATCCATTTTGTTAGCCTATTTCGCTACTTATTTGATAAAAAATAGTCATGTCAGTTCTAGTTTCGTAGATCTTTTGATGCAATTCTGAAGTATGTAGATTTAATTTTTAAATTTCGTACCAATTTTCTAATAAATTGAATTGCTAATAACTTTAGCTAAACATCGTAAATAAACATAACCAGAAGTTAGTTTTAAAACGAAGGGAGTAATTATTGCTTTGACTATTATTGTTGTTGTCATAATAATAACAATAATAATAATAATTTATTATTATTAAGTAAACAAGAAAGGTTACAAGTTTTTTTTAAAATCAAATTAAATTGTTGCAGATTTTGTTGTTGGTCAATAATTATAATTCCAGGTTGAGGAGATGATAAATTCATTGAGATAATGAAGATTGGAGTCGGTCTTGTAACTTTCAAAATGACTGCATTTTATTTTGGTCCATATATATTTTAAGATCCAGAAATCTATCATAGATTGCTCGTGAATGTATTTATTGTATTATCTCATAAAGTTTTCATTTTTTTGATCTAACAATAGAGGACAAGCATTCAATTCATATTAATCATATATAGACGATGATGCATGGGGTCTTTCATTTCAGCTTTAAAATAAGCACAGTTTGCGATCAGCTTTAATATTTTAAATAGTCTTTTTTTAATTGTGCATATTAACATAAAAAATATTAGCCCTAAACTTAATCATGGGACAACATTTTGTTAGTGCTTTTAAAATTGATTTTTAACTTCTATTTTGAATAGAATCGGTGTGAAGTGTTTGCAACACTATGATTCTTTGCTTTTTTTAGAAATGAAAAAGGAAAAACTGAGAAGCTACTCTGATTCTCTGAACTGCTTTTAGATTATGTGGTTAAAATAATCATTTTTCTAAAAGTTGAGTAATCCCAAACATTCTCTAAGTCCAAATATATTTAGACATTGTAAAATTAGGGGAATGTTTAAAACGTTAAATGATATTGTTAGTCATTTTTCAAAACACTAAATCGAAACGTTGATTTTTTTTTCCAAATAAACATGTTATCCACTTTTCCATCACCATTTACTTCAACATTACATTTTATTCATATTTTATAAAGTGAAATTTGCACTGAATATGACTAAAGCATAAGTCATTTCCGAATGAGGGACTTAAACTTTTTTATTCCCTAAATAGGACTTAATAATAACCAGTGAAAAGAATAATGTCCAAGTAATGCTGGATATTTAGTTGAATAATGACTAATAGATAATGACCAATAGTCCTACATTGGAAAATAAAAACATATGGTTCTATATTGAGAAAGTCATTATGTTTTAGTCCTATTTAGGTAAATTACTCTTTTATAAATGCACTAATATTGACTCTGCTTTTAGTGATCCATTTCTAGCTTTTGGGGTTGGATTGGGATAGAGAAACCAAGTTGCACAAAATAGTATGGAGTACTCAAAATTATTAATGTCTATTTTAGTTTAATAAATAGCTCAAAATCTTAAAAAAGAAATACTTTAATCTTTATATATTCATCTAATTTAAATTTTCAAGTTAAACTGGACTAACATCGATCATCAACTTTTTCTCGAAATTCTTACATAGTATTTTGAGTGCATAGATTTTAATTCATAGTCCAAAATAATCATAAATGACTTGGGAAAGTGCACACATACTAAACAATATAACAAAGTGAAGTGATTCCAATACTCTTATCATTATTTAACTTTAGCAGCATTTTTTAATAAACAGTAAATAAATTTTGTTTAATCTTTTTATTCTTCTTAAGGTGTAAATGCAATTAATGTAGAATGCTAGAATGGGCTAATATGAGCAAATTCGGAATATTAGAAATAAATATGCATTGACTACCTAATCTAAGATGGAGTTGCTATAAACAAATTTGTTACGAAGTAATGAATTACTCCCTCCGTCCAGAAATGTTCTTCCTGTGTTGACTTGGCACGCTTATTAAGGAATAGTAAAAAAATGTAAAATTTTCAAAAATACACATACTATAAACTTTTAAATCTCATTTTATTATTAAAAAATATTAAAAAAGTAGATTTGTAATAAAATAGAAGGGTATTATTGATATTTAGCCTTAAAAAGCATACTAAAAAAAGAAATGAGAAGATTATTTCCGGACGGACCAAAAAGGAAAATGGGAAGAATATTTCCGGACGGAGGGAGTAACTTTTTTCATACATTAAAAAACTAAATAAATATAAATGTGAAATATGTATAAATTTATCTATTTTTAATCGATCAAAAAATCATCATGATGTAAACCCTTTGATGCATGTATGAATAAATCTATTTCTACATGGAGTTGATGTACACCAAAAGTACAACAAAATTTTTGTATTAAATAGACATACTTCATCCTTATAAAATTATCACAGTTTCACTTTTTGGTCAAATTGTGACATATATAGACATATCATAATTCCCTCATGTAAGACTTATTTTGGGTCTATCATTTGACACGGAGGGATAATGTTCTGTAATGTCTCAAAATAATTTAATCGCTTTTATGATGTCATTGAGTCGAATTTGGTTCGGGTTGCGTTGCTCTATATTCAAACTTGACCCGACTTAGAGTATGTTCTCTTTCTCTGATCTGGTTGAATCTAACTTGATTGGATCCGATTTTATTAGGATCTGTTCTGTTGTGATTTGTTCTGATCTTGTCTAATCTTGTTGTAATTATATTCAAAGTAATTCTAATCTAATTTGTTTTAATGAGAATAAGTAATAAGTTGGAAAGAATTTCAATTCAGTAAATTTCGATTTTAAATTGAAATGTCACCTCTAAATTATGGAGTTGATGATGACAAAGGATATGAAGAATTGTAGAAGAGAAAGAGGTGAGCATGGAAATTAGGTTTAAAAACAATACTTATAACCAAAAATCTTATAATCGAGCAGGATAAACATCACTTTGAATAGATTAAGAAAACACTTTTTTGGTTATTAAAGAAACATATTGTCAATGTGTTTTTAATCTTGGTGAAGTGTGCATGGAAGTTAGGTCTAAAAACAATACTTATGGCCAAAAATCTTAAAATCGAGTAGGGTAAACATCATTTTGAACAATTAAGAAAACATGTACAAATAATGTACAAATATATACTACATTATACGCAGTAATAACAAATTCTATTATAATTTTTAGGTTTATACTCTTTTAAAAGGTCTTAATACAAGAAATGATTATATGGTTCTGAAATCTACAATCATCTTATAGACATCATGAAATCATTGATGAATTGAGTTTTTCTAAAAAAGTAAAAATTCCCATGTAGGTTCACTAAAAATTTTAGAGAGCCTACATTTCACATGTAGATCTTAGAATCATAAAACTACAAAATATATGAGAAAATCTACATCTTTAACATACTCCGTATTTTTTATTATAATAGATGTATTAGTACTAAAAAAGAGTTGTGTTTCCATGATCTTAAAATTCACATGTGAATGTACATGCATATTTTCACACTTTTAGCAGATTTATATAGAGGTCTTTGATTAAAAAAAACTAATTCAATTATAGTATTTATTTACTAATGTCTAAAAAATAAATGTGGAACTTAGGGAATTCTAAAAATGACTCAAAATTGACATTATAATCTTTAAAAATATGACTGACAAAAAATAATATTCAATATTTGTAATGTCTATGAAGGTTATAAATTAAACCTGATACTCCTTCTGTTCACCATAGATCTTCTCAGTCACTATTCACAGGTCAAACTTCACTCACTTTGTTTGCTCATTTTTACTAGTCATTTCGTAAAATAATATAGTCTTGTCACCTCTAGTTTTGTAGAACTTTTATGTAGTTTATTACTATATAAATTTTATTTTAAAATTTTACTCCTATAATCAATTAAATTGATTTGAAAATAAAGTCGGTTAAGCCTCGTAACGCGTAATGGGAAGATCTCAGGTGGACGGAGGGACTATTATGCAATACTAGTGTTAGTTTCATTTTAAAAAAATATAGGGAGTACTTGTAATTAAAAGGAGAAAGTACCTTGCTAATCTTAGGGACCACAGACCTCAACATGTAAAGCCTGTCGTTCAGTTTCTTCCGGCGCCGCCTCTCCGCCATCAAGTTCTTCGCCGGCATCCCCTTCTTCTTCCCTTTCCGATCTCCGCCTCCCGTGACCGCCGTAATGTTCGCGTTGGAGCTCATTCCTCCTCCTCCTCCGCTGCCGCCGCCATCATCACTCTTCCTCTTCTTCTTATTATCGCCGTCCTCCTCCACGTCCTTCTCCGAATCATAGTCCAATTCATCCACCTTCGTATCCGCCCTCTTCGTATCATCGCTGCCGATCCCGTCATCGGAACCTCCGCTCTTATCGGCGATGCTGTTCTTCCTCAGCGCCGCCCTCTTCTGGAACAGAGTCGGCTGAGATCCGGAGGCGCCGCAATTATCGAGCGGCTTCAACAGTTTCGGCCTCTGGCTGAACGATTTGAGCCCCTCCCCGAACCCTAGCGCTCCGATTTGGGGGAATTGCAGAAACTGAGATCCCAAATTGAAATCCGGAGCCCCGATCGGGTTCTGCGGGGCGAAATCGCAGAACCCGCCGCCGTTCAGAAGCCCGGTTCGGAAGTGGGTGTCGAGGAACGGGTTTTCGCAGCCCAAATCGAACCCGGTTTCGATCGGGTTCAACAAACTCGGAACCGGTGCGGATTTGGGGCCTAAAAAGTAGTGGTGGGCCTGAGAGGAGGGAGAACAGGAAGAAGAAGATTCCACCGGGTTTAAAAACAGAGAGGCCGAATGGTCAACCGCCACCTCCGGGAAATTTCCGGCAAATGAAATTTCCCCGCCGCCGCCGCCGCCGTGGGCCGGCATTGCCGAGGAGGCGAAGCTGGGTAGGTACCACCCCACGTCTTCGCCTTCCAGCAAGGATTTGAAAGAAGAAAGCCCGGACATGTCCAGGCCAGCTTCTAATCCGCCATCGTTGCCGCTCCTCGCGGCGGCGGTATTATCTTCGCCGCCGCCGGAAAGCCACCCCATGCCATCCACTCTTGAGAGCATTTTTTTTCTCTTAAGGTTTCTTTTGATTTTTCTTTAATGGAAGAAGCAAGTTTTGTTGTTTTGGGAGAAGGGGGAAGAAGGGGACAAAAAAAAGGGAGGGAAAGAGGGGTTTGGGGTTTTGTAAGTTTGTTGCTTGAGAAATGGCTTTTATATAGGTGTGTGATATCAAATTATCAATGGGAGAAGCTTCACAATGACTCAATTTTGAACGTTACAAAATTTTTTTGCTTGAAATATGGCTTTATAGGTTTCTTTGGGAATTGGTGAGAAATACTCTCTCCAAAACAATTTTATGGTTTGGTTTTATAGAATTTAAGAAATTTAATGAAAAAAGATTGTATAAATAGATTTTTTAACGGAAAAAAAAAATATTGCAAGTCATTTTTTTGTTATGAAAAGAAAAATGAGAAATTCATTTTGGACGGAGGGAGTAAAATTTAGAGGTAGGGTAGGACACAAATTTTACATCAGAATTATATATCACCCTCATGTTTTGTAATTCGAATATGATATGCCTGTTTTAAAGACACATATTTCGAAAGTACAAAAAATAAAGAATTTTATGATCGTTCACATTTTCATGTTCTCTATCTTTTCATACAAGACATGTTTTTTTTTCAATTTTAGTTTTAAGAACTAGTGTTCACACTTCATACTCAAGTGAGTTAAGGCTATTGCATCTAGATTTCAAACTTTAGATTCTAGTTCTCCAATTCCATTTTTGAGATTCACTTTGGGTCTCAATTTTCATAACTTGGTAAAAAATTAAGACGTAAATAACATCTTATAGAATGTAAATCTTAACGAGTGTAACATTGTGGTTGATGAATTGATCAAACTAAGGAGCATTACCAAGACTAGAAACCATCTAATGGATAAATAATTTTACTCTCCTTTTCTTAGGATGACTTAAACTCGATCAAGACGTTAACGTCAAATATTACTAGTGTAGAAAGGTTCTTGGCTATCTGAAAAAGAAAATATATGCAAAATTATTTAACTTTTAACATTTTGTGGAAAACATTAATCCAGCATTTAGGCTCCATTTGGTACACGAAATTCAAACTATGTAATTGAAATTGGGGACAACAATTTCAATTTTACTGTATTGTTACAAAAAAATATGTAGATTTGGAATTGGTGGTGCCAAAACTGAATTGAAATTGAAGAATTCAATTCCATAAAATTTCAATTCGCAATTCAATTCTAATTCCGTCAATTTCGTGTACCAAATGGACCCTAAATGTTCTTGCATGAAAATGCTACCTTCAAACTGTGTTGCATATATTGGTATTTTACTCTTCTACATTATGCGTACACTCTCTTGCATAAAACTTAAATTCTCTCTCAATTCATGATATATGTATAAAAATTTGTACATATATAACATATGTTTAAATTGATGCAAAAAATTCAATACTTGAAATTAAATTAGTATTTTCCCCATTTCTAAGTTGATATATTTAGTTCCATGTATTTTTTAAACAGAGTAAACTAATATTAAGATTTTATGAATGACATATATATTTACTTCTCGAATATATGTTTAGATTAATCTGACGAAGTTAAAAACTTTAGTCATACATAAAGAATTAAGATTTTTAAAATATGGCAAAAATTTGAAAGTTTAGATTTTATAAAGTGAGAATCCTATTTTCAATTAAATAACTTACAATATTTCAATGGTGACAACACATAAGAGTGGAATCACTTGGTGGTTCAATTCACGTTTTATGTGTTTGTAATTTGTCATACTTAATTAATATATGCCAATGTGATGATATCACTATTCTTTTGGTTGTGCTTTTGAAATGATGAAAACTTTTGGAGATGATCAAATGAGAAATTAAATACACTAAATTAAACCTTTAAATTTGTTTGGTACTTTGGTTAATGTACTTTTAAAGTTTTAGTTCTCCAAAAATAAAGTTGGGAAAAAGATAAAAGTGGGAGTAAAATATTGAAAATATACCAAAATAATACTTCTATGTTTTTTTCACGAAATAAGAGGTAAAATGCATTTACATTACCAAACATGGTAATGTATATTATCAAAAAGTATAGTAATATGCACATGTGCAGTGCTACATTATCACCACATTACCACAAGTTTGAACTCCTATTTCGAGAATAAAAATATGAAACTCCTATTTTAGTATTTTTTCTATGTTTTAGTCATATTTAAGGTGATTTTTCAATGAAGTTTCGTCCGGCAAACTATATTATACTATACTCCATCCTCTAATATTTAAATTCTTACTTTCTCCGTCTCATAAAACTTTTCAAAATAAAACATGGACATCTAAAAATGAATAATTTTGATATTATTTTCTAATTGTAATTCAAATATCCTAATTTTAGGACATCATATTCTATCTTATTATTAAATAATAATGGCAAAATTATAAAATAATATCAAAATTACCCAATTTTAGGACATCCCTTTTTCGTCTTTTGAATTTTTTTTGGGACGGATGAGGAACTTTTTGTTGGACGTCTTATAGTAATTAACATTTCTTTTAAATAATGAATTGTATGGTTAATATCTAACTCCGTATTACTTTTGGCTTATTTACATAATTAAAATTTCACACACTTAATTTCATGCGTTCTTAAACTCCGCAAAAATCAAAGTAAAAAGTTAAATATGGGACATATGGAATATTGTGTTATTGTGTATGTGTTTGTGTTAGCGGGTATTTGTAGTTTTGGACTGTAATTAGTTTATCGGGTCCACTTCCAACTTATAACCCTAAGCCCGCTTGTACTTGTATATATACACTTGCTTGTGATTAATAAAATCAGATCAGTTTTACTCTAAATTTTTACATGGTATCGGAGCCAAACCCTGGGCAAAATAGTTTTTTTTCGGTGCTGATCTCGATCGACTCACACCGTCGATCGTGTGTTTGTGTGTGATCGTGTGTGGCCAGTGAATTTCCCATCGGCGAATTTCCCTTCGGCGATCGAGTGTTTGTGTGTGATCGTGTGTTCGGCAGAAGCTTCACGGTGACCAGAAGCCTATTGGTCTTTCCGATTGTTCTGTCCAAATTATTGGACTCTTTATTGTTCTTTGCGCAGCAGAAGCTTATTGGTTTTCACTCCGGCGATTTCCCGATCTAGAATTGGTCACAGCATCTTTTTTTTTCATCCGTTTGATCTAACGATTTGTTCTTCACCACCAAATTCATCCGTTTGGTGGTCCTTTGCAGCAATTTTGGATTTTGTGCTGTTGCAAATTCAAAATTTGACTTATTGAGATTTAAGTGATAATAACCATTCCAAAACCAGAGAGTTCAATCTCATTGTGCGGCTGTTGTGCGGCTGCATTTGTGATCTAAGGAGATTTTTGGTGTGATACTACTTGTGTTTCTTGGTGCACTATTGTTGTGTGGTCAACT